ATAGTGTTCAGCGACTTACCGCTCGACCGCTGGTGAGCTTGTCTAAGGAAATAGATGCTTTTGTCAAGGGCGTTTTAGGGAAAACTAGCTCATATTTACGTTACACACGGAGAAAATAGAGGTCATTAGTTTCAATCCATTAAAGAGCTTAAAATTATAAAAATTACATGATAACGATTTTTCTGTTTCACCTCTGAATCGTTAACAGTTACTAAAGCTTTTTATTTAGTTCGGCTGCTGGATTAAGAAAAAGCGTGCTAGTGCACACGTACTGAAGAATATAACGCCATTTTTATTGTTTTAAATGTTCTATTTGAAGACGGTATTTCTCAATACTTTTCAAAACTGAAAGATAGCAATCAAAAATTTGTTACGTGTAATAACAGGAAGTGAACTTTAGTTTTCTACTAATATTATGTATTATAATTGAAACTACCATCGCTTAAAAAGTAAAGAATTTCGGTAAGTACCTTCGGTATAGTCCATGCAAACATACTTCCTCGTATTTTATTATAAATTTAATATTTCTTTGAGAGAGGCTAATAAAAAAGAGTAAATTAATGCAAACATTAGTTAATGTTTAACCAATTATTTGCCTGTCTTCTCAACTAGGAACTTCTTCGCAAAAATTATTAAAATCTTTCCTTACGAGCTTTACATAACAGCTCATTTATTTTCATAAACTACCAAAGAGTAAGTGATTTTTGAATAATTCATTTCAGAAAAAAAAAAAAAAAATATAATGCATTATTTGACTATTCGATTTAAATGAACATTTTCGAAGACTTACGATATTAAAATACTTCTTACGAGAAAAATCATAGAAATTAAAGATTTAAAATAATTATTTGGCAACAACAATTATATTCTAGACAACGGATTTAAGAATGAGCAGTACGAAAGAATTTCTTTACCGAAAATGGATTAGTATTGTATGTATGAATTAGATGAGTTTACTTCAGAATGGGAGCATATCAAAAACGTTACGCAGCATCCTTCTTCCCTGTAGTTAACTATATTTTCTTCCTAAGAAGGTGATTATAAAATGTTAGTGAATCTAGCGTATTCTAGTACTGTTAATAGCTCTTTACCAATGTAATGATTGATAATTCTATGTTCATCTCATAACTTTGTCAGCGGAACTCTTCGCCTTCGGGTGATGATGCATCTTACTTTACATCACCATAATTGGCCCTAGGGCATAACCAAAGATACTGGTTAAAGCTCTATTCAATTGTATACCAGCAGTAAAGAAATGATCCGTGATAATAAAATGGAGGTGGGGGGGGGGGTTAAAGTTAAAACTGAAACTGAATTCTGCGAGTAAGCGATTAATATACTATATTTTTCAAAATGGTTCTGTGTGTAAAAATATGCATTTATGGTGAACACGTTTATTTCTTTTTTACACCCTACTTCCGTACCTCCCCTCTTCCCCACCCAAAATTCGTTTCTCTGCAGACGTGAAAAGATCACGTCGACACTTACGGTCGTACATCTGGTTGCACTTTCTTTGTAGAGAATAACACACCCATCAGCGCATTTATAGTGTCAAAATGATAAATTAAATTAGGCTGGGGAATCCGATAAAAAATACAGATGCAAATAAAAAAGACAGAAATTTGACTGTAAATATAACTTTTATTATCTTTCGTGTTGCGACACAATGTCAACCATGTTATATATACATCAATTAAAACATATTTATAATTATTAATTTTTCACCAGGACAAAAAATGTACTTTTTGAAGGCGTTCACGCTTTCGCCTCAAAAGTTATGACACATTAAAACACATGCGACATGATGAATATTAAAAAATATACATCGTATATATATATTTATATATATATATATATTCTTATAATTATATGTGAACATTTGGCAATATCAACAACAGTAACAGTTAAAAAGCTCTGTGAAATAAACAATGAAGCACTAACAGTACATCTTACAATAACACATTTATATCTCGAAAATATAACATGAATTTCTTTAAAAAAGAAGATACATAACGTCGTATGGTCTCACTAACACGAGAGTGAAATTGTTTAACGTTTCTCATAAAGATTTAAATATTTTTACCACTTTTTTTTACAAAATAGCTAGCAAAAAATGTGGCATTGTTTTATTTCCCTTTTAATCTAATTCTTGTGTTCACTTCTATTCCAAACCATATTATAAAAATTAATTCCAGAAATTACAAAAACAAAAACTTGCCAAATATTAATCTAAGACAAAGCTGAAAAACTTTTTAAAAATAAAAATAGATTAATTTCATTTGCAGATTTTGATATTTTCCGTAATTTTGTAATTAACGTATTAATTTGACAAGCAAATAAAAAAAGTCAAAAACTCAAATCCGCCTTTCCTTCAAAGACAAGAGCTAGACAATAAAACATATCAAATTAAAAAATTCAGACTTTTCATAAACATAACTAATATCTACAAAATCAAATAACTTATATAATTTGAGTATATATTTTTAGTTTTTGATTTTTTTTTTTTTTTTGCTTACAAATGTTTAACAATACGTAGAATTTCTTACACTTCGACATAAGATTTAAAGTTGCGAGCAAAAGTACGAAAATATTTGAAAGACATAACGAACTGCTGATTTGAATCCGAAGAAACCACATTATCAAATTTTTGATTTTTTATGAAACGCCATAGCACAAATAAACATGTCGAACACAAAGAAGCTGTACAACAACATAAATGTAAAATAACTGCTGTCACACTATACAGCAACAGTGAAAACATCAATATATGAGACAATCACACCGATTAATCACACTTATTTTACATCAATAACGTGCTTTACCATCTGTACACAAGAGAACAATGATTTGTTTTTCATGATTGTGCAGGCATAGAATACGTACAAAACTAACGGTGATGAGAAGGTTCAGAAATGTACATAAATAAGACACAACTGATGGATTTCAAAAATAAACAAATTAAGTTTTGACATGATGGTATTATGTACAATGGAAATGGAGGAAAATAAATTCATATGGAACAGGACTACATTAATGAATTCAACCTTATCGACAGTTTGAGTAAAAGAAGGCCACCAACTTTGCTACACAAGAGATCACAGATATTAGTCAATTCCTAAAATTTTATTTTTTAATTAATTGTTTCATAAATAATTAGAATAAAATCCTGAAAATAATTTAAAGACACTACATTGCATATTTTTATGTAAAACATTTGTGAAGATTTAAAATTATTTAAAAATTAGGATAGCAGTTTAGTTTTCAACTTTCTCCTTTTATTTGATGAGAGCTATTAGAGATTGTTCATACTCCATAAAATCAGAATGCTCCTAAGCGTAACAATTCATAAAATATAGTAAAAGTAGTAGTCTAAGACTACTACTTTTTAGACTACTAACTAAATATAGTAGTCTAAGACGGCCACCCAAGATTCTGTATGATTCTGATCTTCCGAGGACGTTGGTTGTTTGTGAGAATTCATTATAAATGTTTATTTGTTTTCAGGAAAATCGGTCAGTTCCAGAGGTGGTCGTCCGTGGGAGGATGCCACCACCACAGGGTTCACTGCATTTTATTTGAATTATTTCGAATAACGAATTACGAACCAAATATTTCATTAATTTGTATTAAATAATGTTTCACATTTTTTACTTAAAATATTATTTGAAACGAATTAAGTTTCTCATCTTTTGAGATATTGCAGCTGGAGAATAGCTGGTGGTCTTCTTCGGTGGGGAAAAGTGACTTAAATTATGTAGTACTAGCTTTTCTGACATATTCTAGAAGACTTGAGAAAATGGGCAATAATTCTGATTGTTGGATATTCCATTTACGATAAAAAGAATTATAAAAATATGGTTGCAGTGAGCCTTGAAAGGCTCAAAGATGCTATAAGGCGCATTAGCTGCTAAATATGATTAAAAATAGACTATTTAGTTATGTTACCCTAAGCTTCTCTATTCCCATTAAATGGAGCACCCCTTTGGATAAGAACTTTGCGATTGCTTTCAGTGTTAACAAACAAACAAACAAAAAAAAAAAAAAAAAAAAATCATAATTTTAGTTGATATATATCTAAAAATATTCAAATTCAAATGACATATATAATCAAAAACAATGTCATTCATTAGTGAATTGAAAAAATTTATAGAAGATTTTATAGAAGAAAACCTAATAATTTTCTATATACCTCAATAATATAAATTAAAAAAATTTTTAATTTATTAAAATTTAATATTCTTTCCTACAAGACAAGAAAAAACTTCCGAATGTTTGCACTTTTAAAATGTATAAAATCGTTTATTTTGCTTTTAACGGATAAATTTTCGGTACTACTTTGGCAGACGGTTGCACGGATTTTGGCGATGTTTTTGGGGGCGAGCGATACGACTTATGGTAAAACCCATTGCTGGACAATTTATTTATGGTAACTGATACTTTGTTGTCATTTTATTTAAAAAATAATGCGTTTTATTATGCATAAATTCCATGTTTTAAATATTATTTATGGCTTTTAAATATTAAAGATCAATTTAATTTTGCATTTTTATTTGAAATAAAACTTTTATTGTTTATGATATTTTATATAATTTTATGTTGTGGATGAAGTAATCAATGACGTCACCTTACTTTAAAAGAAATTGGTTTTAGTATCTATAAATTTAATCTAATGTTTTAAAAATTATTTACGGCTATTAAATATTAAAATACAATTTAATTTTGGATTTTTTTTTTGAAAATGATTTTATTTTGTATGACTATTTAAATAATTTTAATTCTATGCGTGATGTAATCAGCTCCCTGATTGGTTATAGAATATTTGTGCATTAACGAGCTCTAATCGGCTCACTGATTGGTTACTGAATATTTGTGCGTTACCGCGCAATTTTAAAATTTTATTATTCATCTCTTCGAATTTCTTAGATTTCAGTAAACTTCCAATTACTGCCCTTGATATTACATTTTTCAAAATTTTTTTTGATATCTAAATTATGATTCCGTTTTTTTTTTTTTTTTTTTTTTTTTTTTGTGGTACTTATCAACATACGAAGGTTAAATTCTCAAAAAAATGCTGTAAGTACATATTTTTTTTTTTACTTTATAATTGTATGCTTCAATTTTTTATTACAAAAATTAATACACTGTTTTCAAAAATTGCTGAGATATTTATTGCCACATATGTTTTAATGTTAAATAGTTATATCCTATAAAACTTATTTTAAAGTATTTGAATTTAAATAATATTTAAATTCTTTTAAACGTTGATATGATGCTTTTAATTGGATATTCAATTTAAGTGACATTTTAATCCAATTAAACGTTGGCGCAATGTTTTTATAGCGGTGTTTTTATTCTATTTCTTTGCTATATGAAAGTAATAGTTTAACCTTACTTTAGAGTATTTTATACTCGTAGTAAATGTATTTATTTACATTTGTCTGCTATCTTAAAAAATGACGTTTTCAACAAAAAATGAATGCATTATTTTTAACGATATTTATTTTTTTAAAGTTTCGAATACTTCACCTTGCATAAAATACGTAGAAACGGCGTTTTTCAAGATGGCTGACTGTAAACCGCACAAACAATTGAGCCAACGTAAATCCCCTAAAATACGTGCTACCGTCTACCAAAATAGCACCAAATTTTCATACAGTTTGTTTAAAAGTATATTAATATGAACGAATTTTATTCAAAGAAATAACCATGCAATTAAACTTCCGTCATATCCCTATAAAACGTACTTTTACTTATTCTTCAATCCCTTACAATAAAGGAGGAGAAAGAATAATAAACAAATGGTGAAATTTTAATTTATAAAACTATATCAATATTACTATTTTAAGTAGAAAACAAAATACTTCCCAAAATATTGAAAAAGAAATTACTACCTAAACATTTTAGTGTATGTTGTTTTTCTGTATCATTAACCGCAATGCTTCTAATTTTATGAAATTCAAAATATTCACTTATAATTAATATTATAGAAAATATATACATGGTTACTGTAAAACTGTAATACTCTGTTAAATTTCATTATATGCAGTAAAATAAATAGTTATAACGAAAGAATCATTACAAAAATTGAAATTAGTAACTGGTTATGAAATGCAATCATTTGTAGTAACTTAATAACGTAACAAAGATAATAAATAAGAAATTCAGTTTTGAATTAGGGAAAAGGTGCTTAACCTCAGTATCTGATATATGTAGCTTTCAACAGAAAGTCTATACAAAGTACAACATTAGTAATTTGTGCTGCAGACATACTCAAGAATAAAAGGAAAATTCACATCAATTTTGATACTTTAAAATAAACTTTAAAACTATCAAAAAATTGATTTCATTCGCGAACCTTGCAATAAAATATTCTAAAAATGCATGACTTGGCACTAATATCGACAAAAATATTAAAAATACATACATAATATCACGTAGGGGAAAACAGTTTTTTACATCGCGCTTATTTAATGCATTAAGGCGAAAAAATATGCTCAGCCCCTATTCTGAATTGCACGCTTAAGTTGCACGTTATCCCGATGAATTATCTGATAACAGCATTCGGTTTTGTTAATTAATTGACTCAAATGCAATAAATTCCTAGAAATTATACAATAATTATTTTTCGAAATTGAGTGGGACAAAAAATTAGCTGCCTTCTTAAAATATATATATAAATAAATATCATGTTCTATTATCGACATTTTATCAGAATAGGCACTGGCCAGGAAAATGTAAATCGTCTGAAGTTTATCACTTATTTGCGCGTGCGTGAGTTACGAAACAATGAGATATTTCACCATGAAAATATGTTAAAACGCGACGTAAATACAAAACATACGCGATGATTTTAAAAATTACACAACCATCTTGGATGTATAGAAAGTCGCCAGAACGGAAACTGCAGCCATTTTGATCGCAATAATAATAATAATAATAATAATAATAATAAACACTAAATGTTCAGTAAATATACTAAACGTGCAATTATCGTAGCAGGAAAGATATATTTATGATATTTTATAATCTCTTGTAAATTTCGGATACTTAACAGGTTGAAGGAAAACATTGGTTTCAAAACTTCTACGGTACAAACTTCTGGCGGAATAAATAAAAACTAGTATTTTAGTATTGACTGATAAGTTAAAGCTTTCAGATTCAATCGCTATACAAATATGCGATTTCAGAAAGACTATATTTTATGTAAGGTGCTTTTCAAAACGAATCTCAATTTCTTTCGAGGTGAACATGCTGATATTGCCAGAAATCTGGCAAAATTTTCAAATACTACTTCGCGTAAATGATACAGTGAGAGCAGAAGAATTCGTAATAAGCTAAGTGTTAAACAATAAAAATTATGAAACAAATAATTCAAAAAACAGCACAGATGTATCAGTTCCTTAGATATCACATATTTGAGATTTTTTAAACCGGGGAAATTAGGTTGAGCTTGCGTTCGGACGACCACACTGATACAATAAAACTTAAATCCCTCCATCTTTCTCACTAGACTCTGCAAGTCATCATATTCATCACAATCATCTAAGGGCAGTGGTTGATGTCGTGACCACCGTTGTAGCGAGTGGGCCGGTTAGGAGACTAGTAGCAGCGGTAGAAGGCGGAATGTCCAGCAACAACAGTCCACCCTGTTCTGGTTGTTGCTGCTGCTGTTGCAATGAAGATACAGTGGACGATGCCGCTGATGACGAGGTTGTCGAGGTCGAGGACGAAGACTGCTGACGCTTCGAGCGCTGCTTTAAATGAACCTTCGCGTGTCTCTTCTTTTCATCACTGCGCGCGAACTTGCGACCACAGGTTTCGCAGGTGAAGGGCTTTTCACCAGTATGGGTGCGAATATGCGTTGTAAGGTGGTCGGAGCGGCTGAAAGAACGCATGCAAATGCGACACTGGAACGGTTTTTGTCCAGTATGAATCCGGATATGCCGAGTTAGCTCATCACTTCGCGAGAACCTTCGGTCACAGCTATCGATGGGGCAAGCATATGGGCGCTCGTGCAAGGGCGTCTTGGAGGGACGGTTCGGATATTTACGGGGCTTTACAGGTAATAGCTTCAATGGAACGTTGCTGCATTGGTACGCTTGACTAAGAATTTCATGACCCTATAAAGATAAAATACAAAGTTATTAGTCTAAATGACACAGTAATATTACTGCCACTACTACTAATAATAAAAACTCAAGCTTGAAATTAAAGAAGATGGTTTAATTTAAAGCTTGTTAAGCTAAATGCTATTAAAACAAAATAAATTTAAAAAGTATTATTTTCATTAATATTAAGTTATCAATCTTTATCTATAATATAACTTTTCTATTTTTGTTGCCTTGGATAGCAAAATATATCGCATAATATCTGTGTCCTTTCAAATATGACATCTGCATTCTTTCTATAATATATCTGCATAGTTGTGGTGTTTATTATAGTATAAAAAATTTCAAAGCTATTCAAAAACATTTTTTATAAATTATTGTCAATTTTCTATACCTCATTTTCCTTTTTAGCTAGTAAATATTGAAAAATCTATAACTGTAACGTTATTTTTCACAAACCCCCATTAAGCATTAAGACAATGGAGGAAGGTCGCGAAAATTTGCATCTGATGAGATAAGGTCCTGAATGGAACATATTCAAAAATCCGTGATTTAATTAACCATTTAAGACTATATTACATTTGTGAGTCACCTTTAAATTACTGATTAAAAGGCAAAAACGGAACACGGCAAGATAAAATTTCTAAACAAAAGTAATCAAAATCAATAACATGTAAATACTGCGAGTTAAGATATTTAATTTGCTCTATGAAATATGGTACTGTAGATTGCAGACAATGAAATACGGAAACAGCCATTAAAACATTTGATCTTACACATGAAATACGGATTTGTTAATATGTTACAAGAGAGCAGAGGAGAGTCACCTTGAGAGCAGAGATACGAAGTTTCTTTAAATGATTATACGATATACTATTTTGCTATCCAATAAAAAATCATTCCGGAAATATAGCAGTATAAAAGAGAATTAATGTCATTCTAGCAAGCAACATAATTACCTAAAAAATTATATGGCATAGATACCTATTCAGCTGAAGATTATAGCAAACATTATTGTCAAAAAAAGGTGAATATTTGGAGCTGAAGATAGGAAGCTCACTTCAGGTTCGAAATATTTCATTCCACCAAAAATTATAATTTAGAATAAATGTTTGAACGCGATTTTGGGAAAATATTGTTTATGGTAAGAACTATTCAATTTGTTCTTTTCTCAAGAAATTGTAACATCATGCACTTGGGCTTATTCCCCGAGACAGTACGCCTAACACACTTATGTAAATTTTAGTTTTAGACTTATCAAATATTTTGATAACAACCATGTGGTATATTAGGAAATATACACTTCATAAATAGTTAAGATTATATGTCCAAACAATTATGATTGCTGAACACTGGTACTTCGAACCCAGGTAAACGATTGGTTACATAAGTGGTTCTCATGATTTTCGCCTTTCGCCCAGACGGTATAGTGGTTAGGGGAGTAAACCGTTCAGTTGGCTTCTAACCCAGGTATAGATACATCCAGATCTATACCTGGTTAGGGGATGATTAATGGTTAGGGGAGCGCACTACGGCACCGAAGGGCCCGGGTTCGAATCTTGGAGAAGACATGGATGTTTATGCGTGTGCCGCGTGCGGAAAGTCCTCTCGTTGGGATTAGTTGAAGGGGAGAGGAGTGTGAGACCCCCGGACCCCGGAGGATCGGAGTGCTCTCCCTCAAAATTGAGGGTGGAAAATAGAAGTCCAAACTCTCTTTGGAGTACTCTCTGGTAACCATTGTTCCATGTAATATGGACAAGACAACAACAACAACATAGTTTTCCCTTATGCGTAAATGTGAATATGAGTCAGTTTTCCCTAAAAGTCTTTCAAGGAGATATCTCTCTTTAGACAGGTAGCCCTCATGTGTTTTGGCATTTCCAAATAAGCTAATCTGGTAAGCAATACATAAAAGCAAGGATATTCTAAGCAATGATCACAAGATGTTCATCCACTTTCTAAAAACTAAATAAGCGGCGCCATTAAAGGCTACTGACGAATGAGAAACTGACAATGATAGGTTAGCATTAGCCGAAGTATAGAACTCTGGGGCTCAATTTAATAAGGAATTAACTCATTGTTGGGCAAGATAAGATAACTGATGTGACAGTATGCGTTACTATTCTTATGACGCTAGTGGAAATATTATTTGGCCTATTATTAAATTAGTCTATTTTTGCATCGGCGGCAGGCGTATTTGAAATTCAGAGAGTTACAGCATTTAATTTCATCGTAACAACATTTATGTGCTCTTATTTCCAAGGTATGCCAACTGACCAAGTATTACTTTTGTTTGAGATTATAATATTTTCGATTCCGAGGAGAACAATCATGTGATATGAATAGTGTATATTGTATTGTATCACAAATTTCGTTTGTACGAATAGGCTTTTTGTACTCGTTTTCGGATCTGGGAGGCTGTTAGACCTATTTAATGAAAACATCTCGTTAGTATTTACAATGATAATCTGTATCTGAAACATTGAAACTATTATTAAATGAATGGCGTTTCCTTTCGACAAGAAAGAAAAGGATCTATGATTCTCTAATGGTAATAACATCCGCATAAGATTGGGTCACTTTATAACAACAAAAAATCCAAATAAGACGAGTACAAAATGCCACTCTTCTATCGTTTAAAAAAATGGAAGAAGTCCACGACACTTTGCGCTCAAATGCGTGAAGTGTCATGAAAGAATGATAGATATCACTAAGAAACATACTTACTTTACTGGTGCTTTGATTGTACTCCGCCAGGGAGGCTGATGACTGAGCGCTCGTTAAAAGCATGCTGGTCGTGCCTGCCGTTGAGCACGAGGCTGAAACTGCCTCTTCTGCTAAAGGCTCCATTTTAGGTACTAAGATGGAAGTAGACGCAAGTTGCAGTCCACCAGCTGCAAAATCCGCCGTTGCAGTAGTCCAGTGATATTTTCCCACTTGTGACGAGGTGGATGGAGACGACCTATGGTATACAATTTCATCTGGAGACACTCCCATGAGGTCAGAAGCTGTGCCAGTAGAGGATGGGGTAGAATATGATGGTGACTGCTGCTTCAATGTAAAAGACACAGGGTCGAACTGTTGCTGCGAAACTGCGACAGCAAACTGTTCCAAAAGCTCTTGCTGATGTGGCGAAGGACTTGAAAGGAAAGTCTGCTGTTGCTCTTGTTGACTTTCTTCATAGGATGACTGTTCCTGGTGTTGATGGTGATGGTGATGCGGAGGGGTGGCTGAGGCGGAAGGAGGTGGTGGTGTAGAAGAACTGCCCATGATGTTGAGAAGAGGTGTGAGGAGGCTCTTCTCTGAAGATGATGGACTTTGCAACCAATCTGAGGGTGACAGTCCCGATGCAGATGATGAACACGCTGAGGTGACAGGGGTTGTTGAGGTGGTAAAGCTACCCCTGTAGCTGATGCGACCCACGGGAGAGTTGCTATGACTTCCCGGGAACATAGTCCCCACACACTCCGTCCGGTCATTTAAAGGTTCCGATGCTTCAGCTGTTGGTAGAAAAAAATTCTAATTATTATAAAAATTAAGTTCTGCTTAACAATAATAGCAAACACGATAAATAATCAAAAAATACACTTGCAAAATTAAATAAATTACCAAAATTAAATAAATGTAATAAAGAATACTATACAATGATTATGAACAAGCAATGAATAATTTGTACAAATTTTGGTCTAACCTCAAAAAAGAACTTCCTAACATACCTTCACTTACAAGTAGGTTACTATACATAAATGCCAATATTACCTGGATAATTTCATCAGCATGCCAGTTTGCTCATTCTAGCTTAATTAGAATATCAAGAATGACTTTTTTGGCATGATTCAACTGATGTAATTTAGCAGGATAACTATGAAATAGACATAAATAAAATCAAATTTTACTTGTTTAATACAGCAACATAATCTTAATTTATCAAAGCAAGTTATCCTAACAATCCAAAATCCATCTTTGCACAACTTCCTTACATTGGTGTACAATGTCCACATACACGGCTATGTATAGTGCCTACCTAAACATCACGAAAACATGTAGAAAAGTTTTGGGATTTTTATAAAAACCATCATTTGAATCGGTTAGTATCTTAACTATTTCATAGCATTTTATGAATGGAAATACATATTTAATCACCATGAAAATACGCATTTTTCATATTCTACATGCACAAAAAAAAAAAAAAGGTATCAGTTTTCAGGAAAGTAATTCTCGAGGCGTTTGGTAGTTAAAATTTGAATTCAGTTATTTCTCAAATTTTCAACGGTACGTTTATACTTATGTATAACGGCTAAAATTTAAGGAAATTTAAATTAGTATAATTTGCTCTTTAAGAAAGTAATATTACACCCACTTTAACATCAATGGACTTAACAGAGCCGGTATTATTAAAATTCTGTTTTCATTTCAGATATTAAATGTGTGTAGTTCATTTATCGCAATGAAAATATAAACACCTAGAATTTTGATATCTAGATACAGAAAAACTCCGCTGAACACGAATTTAGTAAGAAGCGTAACTAAATTAAATAACATCACTTTTCGTTTTATTAGAATAATCGGTTAACGAATTTTTCTAACGTAATGCAAAAATTTTAATGCGATAAAAATGCTACGGCGATAAATTTGTTTTTAAATCCGAAAGCACTGTTATTATAGGTTAAAAAGATAATAATTGTATTGAAAATACACTGCTTAGGAGTAGACAATCTTGATATACAACTGGAAGTTCTCAATAAAATACTCAAACATTGCTCACTATAAACAATAATGTAATTTTCTTCATATCTTATGAGGAAAATCTGTTAACCTTCACAATCAGATTTTAAAAAACACTAAAGTTTCATTTTATTTGTAGTAGTCGATAAAATCATTAAAATACAGGACTCCCTTTTGTCTTTAAGTTAAAACACGACATTTTAGACTCTTTTCTCTAATTTAGTTTCAGATCTCAAACTAGTTTAAAGACTAAGAAGCTGGCTTAAAAGAACGTGAATTAATCGTCAATCATATTGTACAGCGAAGTACTACGAAAAGCTTCGAAGGTTCACTGAAATTTGATATCGCAATCGCGTGATTAGATGAAAAATGCCAAACAATCATCAAATGTTTTTGTTGTAAAATAATAACTCGGAGATATAGTAGGAAAATTTAGTAAAAAATTTAGAAATTCGTATTTTTTAATTTTGACAATTTTACCTTGTAATACAGACGATACTTTTTTTTTCAAATTTATGAATGACTGATGGAAGAATTATAACTACTGCTCTTGTTTATAGTATTAGCTTAACGCACGATTAGCTTAGCGCACTTTCTTTGACGGATTAATTAATCGTGTTAAGCGAGATTTTCCTGTACTGCATGACACCAGAATTTTTATTTAACAGACCAGTGGATATAAATTCTTAATAAATGATGGTTATAAACACTATAAGTCATCGTAAATATTAATATTCATATAAAGCATATATATATGAATATATATATATCATTCATTACAATATTTTAGTAACAACATGACATAAACTACCATGAAATTTCTCACGACGACTACTTCCCCTACATGTCCTCAAAACTGCCGTAAAGAATACTGAAAGGGATCAGTATTCTTTAAGGCAGTGGCAAAAAACTCGCGGGTCCGCGAATACATTATAACTATGTATTTGTCGTAAATACGATACTTTATAGATACGGACTGATAATGTTTTTAGAGACATAAAGATACAGGAACCTATGTGTGTGACTGCTATTGACGAAAAAAAGAATAAATGAGTGAGGAGATTTATCTTTATCACTGTATGTTATTACGTCAGACAGCAGTGATCGATAGGCTGTTTCAGCGACTTTCAATTTGAAGCTAAATTATAAATTATTTTCTCCCTCCTTTTCCGGTAGCACGCTCGGCGCGTATTCAAGAGGTCCAGGTTCAAGTCCCGGCGAGGGTATTGCATATGTTTCGCGTTTCCTACTTCAAAAACTTAATGACTCTACAGTGGCGCCCGAACTAAAATATGATGGACAATTATTCGTCACCACCATGATTTGGAGATCCCCAGTCTCCCCAGTCGGCCTTTAAAAGGAGGAGTATATAAGGCATTTTCTCCCAGCATGCCTTCATGGTGTAAAGGTAGCACGCTCGGCGCGTATTCGAGAGCTCCAGGTTTGAGTCCCGGAGAAAGCAATGCTCATTTTTCACGTATTCCTGCTTCAGGAAAACCTAATGACTCTACAAAGTAATTCGTTAAAATTCCGGAAATACTACTAAATTTAATAGCAATAAGTATCTTCTATTTAGGCAAAAGTAATGCTTCAGTTCGAAACCTGTTTTATTGTAGGTGTAAATAAAAACTGAGGGGTGGAAATGTCTTTTCATACATAATTTTTCATTGTCTTTCTAAGCATTTTAGAACTATCTTTGATATCTTAAGTACGTTGTGGGTTCTCAAAATCACCAAAAGTGTTCAAGCAGAATTTTATTTCAAAACGACAATCTTTAGTTGCTATTCCAACATATTTATTTCATTGGTCAGTAAAGTATAACAAAATACTCGAGAGCTATTTATATATAAAAGGAATAATTTAACTATAAAGACAATTTACCCGTAAAGGGAAACTTTCTAAAGGAAAACCGAATCGTATTCCCTTCATCAATAAAACTAAGCGTTACATATAATTATTATACAATGAAAGAAGGCCTCTATCTTACTATGCGTTACATATAATTATTATAGTGAAAGAAGGCTTCTATCTTACGATTGTTAAGAGCAGAAAGAGTTAGTACACATAAAAGAATAACATAATTCGTATATTTTTTGGCGCAACTTCTATAATATCCATTTTCCTATGATATGGAATACAAGAACAGTTTATAAAAAGACTTAAACACCAAAAAGTATAGGACGCATGTAATCTACCTCTTTCGGCATGAAAATTCGTTCCAAAACGTTTTACTCAGGTTCACATCGATATGATTATCTAAAGCCTCGTAGAAACGACTTATAAAAAAGAAACAAATAAAATTTATAGAGTATTATTAAAAAATGATTAAAAAATTTAAAAGAGAAAAGCAAAATGGCAAACTAGAATTGCTAATAATAGAATTTCTGTTTTTCTAACTATTACGCGTGTGGGAAGGGGAAGCACGCACATAATTTAATAACAACCTATTCGTTTCTAAAAATCAACTGCATAATAATGTTGCAACGAAAGTTTCAATTAATAATAATAAATCTCTAAAAGGATCACCCATGGTTTCATATAATTTTGATTTCTGCGGAGGTAACTGTCTTACAGGGGTTTACACTTAAAAAAGTACTGCTCACTTCCAGAAATGGTTGACATTAGTTGCTACGTGAGGGTTCATTGTAATTAATCAGGAACATAATTTTATAAACAGAAATGTAAATAGCTAAAGTGAAATAAGCGTAAATATAATGAACCTTTACTTTCGACCATCTCCCTAGGAAGACTAGTTCTGAAAAAGACCATAATTTCTGAGAATATCAACACTGAAAATCATCTTTCTAAAGCGACCACTTCCCCAGAAGACCAAAATTCCAAACGCGGAATCATAAATTGTTGTGTAAAAGACTGCTCACTGTACTTACTTAACCATATATGATGATGAATTAGTAAAATGGTGATCTCATGGACACGCCTTTTCTGAAAGTGATTATCATTATTTCACACTAGAACACTCGTTATTATTGAACATGAACTCTTCGAAAAACTACCTTCACAGGAAACAGAAATCGTTTGAAATCACGATCTAGGGAGGTTTCACTATAATTGCGTGTACATTTTTTTAAACACTTATCTCACTGCTGTAATTTTGATACAATTTCTAATTTTTTTCTAAATTTCTAAATTTCGTAAAAAAAAAACTTAATATAAAAATGGAAATAACTAAATAAGTAAAACCTGTTACTTTTAAGATTCGGAAGTTATTAAAAATGTAAAGGTTTAAAAAGTTATCATATTTAAAAATTTACTGGCATTGCATTTGGAAGTTAATATTAGGCTAACTAATCTATCTATTCCTTTATAACTTTATATTTCATTATATTATAAATATAAAATAAATAAACATTTTTAAAATAATGTGAATTAAGAGCTGATAAAAGATGATATTGTTGACCTTATACAAGCCCCATTTCTTATTTTTCAAGAAAGTTTTAGGAAAATGTCGCATTTGTAAAATCATATATTATGTTATCTTATATTCTTATCGGATATCGTTAAGAAAGGGTTATACAGCGGACATAAACAAAATTTCACTATTAGTTGGGAAGGGATAGACATCACTTTAAATTTTTCAGCCTAACCTTTTTTGTTGTTTAATTTGTAAAACAAGTTAAAATTTTTAATTAAAAAGAATTTATAGATACATTTTTCGAGTTTTGAAAAAAAAAAGGGGTAGCAATGCTTCTAGCAATGCTGAGAGGAGTGCATGACACTAGAAAGGTTAGAGAAGCACTGTTGTGAGTAATCTCTC